TGTTCGTACATACGTATATGTGTGTATAATGTTCATGGTGTCTCCCACAAATGGGACGACGCAATCTTCTGCGAGAGCTTACATTGTAGATGTGTTCGCTGAAATGAAGAAATGAAAAGAGAACGATGCAAGAAGTCGCCCAGTATTTATAGTGTAGGGAGAGCGACCCCTAGTGAATAATTAGGGAATTAAGGAGGAGCTAACTCCGACAGATATCTACTTCTATACTGTGAGTGTCGAATTCTACAATCTCTGTTTTCTCAGTATATGTTCCAGAAATTCCAGCTGTCTTTAGATTGACACTTTCCTTAAAACTTCCTCGTTCCTTATATCTTCCGCCCATGTTATTCTAATCATTATTCTGTAGAATCACATCTCAGCTGTTTCCAGTGTCCTCATCTGTGAAGTAATTGTCCAGCATTCAGTGCTATATAGGAGGATTGTTACTAACATAAATCAGCACTCTTTTCTTCGTTTCTATCGATGATTTCTCGGTTCCCAATATTTTCGCAAAGGCATTTTCTCCATTCTAATACATATTCCGATTTAGCATCGTTTGTTAAAACCTTTTTCCAAACATTTTTATACTTGCTGGGCTCTGAGTATCTTGCATTTAGATCGCTCTCTTGGTTATCCAAAAATGATATTGTGTTTTCTTATAGTTCAGACTCAGTCATTTAGCCTTGATTTCCTGATTCGGAGTTCCTGACATGATCGATTGTTTGAAACGCTCTTCTTTAAATCAATCCCACACAGAGAGATCAGTGTGCAAGCTTACACGAATGAATAACTAGATAAATAGATAGATAGATAGATAGATAGATAGATAGATAGATAGATAGTAACGCAGGGTACCCACAAGTTTTTTGCCTGTAGTGTAATTAAGAAGAAAATGAGATAGATAGATAGATAGATAGATAGATAGATAGATAGATAAATAGATAGGAACAAAATTAGAAATAGATAGATAGATAGATAGATAGATAGATAGATAGATAGGAAGAAACGCAGGGTAAAAGTTTTTGCCTGTAGTGTAATTAAGAAGAAAATGAGATAGATAGATAGATAGATAGATAGATAGATAGATAGGAACAAAATTAGAAATAGATAGATAGATAGATAGATAGATAGGAACAAAATTAGAAATAGATAGATAGATAGATAGATAGATAGATATGAACTAGCAGCAGATAGATATCACAAGCAGCAGATACATACATACATACAGACAGACAGACAGACAGGCAGGCAGGCAGACAGACAGACCAAGGGAAATCCAAATAAATTAAGTTCGGTGGTCTAGTTACAAATTTTAATTGTAAAATGTCTGTTGCAAACAATGTAATAAACAAAGTGATTTTTTTTTTTCATGATAGTTAATCTTTTGGCCCTTGTTTTGATTCTCAACTCGTTTCCATACACACAACCTATATTTTAACAATAGACTTAATTACTTGTGTTCTTTCTCGTTTAGTGTCCTCATTGAGTTTCTATTTAGTCGGAAGGTCAGTAGTCTTTTCGAAGGATTGCTTCTCAATTGTGAAATAAAAATACTTCTTTTATTCTAACTCCTAATTTTGGCAATTATACCAACGTTATATCAGTAGTTCGTCTAGTTTTCAAAACCTTATCTTTTCTGTTGTTGTTTTAATGTTTTCTACATTATCTGTACCAAAAACTTTGTCAGCGAGATACTGTTTTTCTATTTTAAATATTGAAATAAATGCAGGAAATGAATTTTATTCATCTGAGATAATAAATATTTAATGCCTCGAAAAAAACGTTTTCTCTTACAAAATTTAACACCTCTCATAAAAAAAAAACTATAAAAAATTTCAATGATTCCAGAAAAAGCAAATTTAGCAATATATACAATTATTTATACATAGATATTTCGATACATACATAAATGGATGGATACATTTCTCAAGCCGGAATTTCATAATAAGATAGCTTCGATGCGGCACAATGTCGACATTATGGAGCACCCAGTGAGTGTCGAACTCACTACTCATTCTTAATTGATTTAGCGACATAAGCTCACTAAACATTACACCACATTGAAGGGCCAAGATGCCACAGCTTCATGTGCGCCAATTGAAACCGGCATGGAAATGTACCAACCTATATACGCACCTTCAACAGCAAAAAAGTCTAAAAATAATGGAGTCCGTTATAATAATAATAATAATAATAATAAACTTAATAGAATAAACTATGAACATGGTCAAAATGTACTGGCGGCATTCACGTGTATAAACGTGTCTATTTTGAAGGTATGGATGACCATACACGACATTATCAGAAAATAAAAACTGATGACTATAGTAAAATTTAAAGTCAACATTACTAAAATTAGATTACGGAGAATATTTTCCAGCATTTTTAAGATTACTGATTACTTAAAAATTATATATAAAAGGCGCTCACTCGTCAATTTCTTAAATTATGTTTTAACCGATAAAGTCTCCGTAGAACAACAATCAATCTGCATTTTATCAGGACTTGTCATTGATCGTCAAATACGTATGAATGTCTTCTTTCGTTTAAAAATCACCGCTAATTTTTGTTTTAACAATGCATTTCTGTGTTATTTTAAAGTTAAAGTAAATAATATTTGATTAAAATCAAATTAATTATACTTTAAATAAGCAAATATTCGCCAAATAAAGTTTCAGAAAAGTATATTTTATTTTTAGAAGAATGTTTAATACAGGGAATTACATTGCGATGAATCCCGACTTAAAACAACGGTAAATAGCTATTTTAGCAAAACAAAACAAAAACGATTCCAATCAATATAATTTCTGTTTGAAATACACCTAAGGGTATTTTGCTTACAGGAAACAGTAATTTTATATCTTTAGTTTTCCATTAAAGCTAAAAAGAAAACTCCAAAGAGGATTTTTCATTTATATAAATTCATTTTAAAACTGAGGTATTGCGAATTAATGGAGGTACCTAAATAAATAACGGCTCGCAATTGGAAATCGAAGAAAGCCAAGTAAAACATAGCTCTCCCCGATTTCCAATTCCAGTCGATTTCGTTATATTCACTTACGAGCAATTAGAAAGCTATGAATCATTCATACATCCAGCTGTAAGTTAATTAGTAAATCATTTTAAATCCTTTCACCCCAAGCAAGACGATAATGCCACTAGAACGCAGGGGTTTACAGGAAGTAAAAGTAAAACAGAATGAGAATATTGAGAATGGCAGGGATTGAGGAAAAGACAAAAAAAGGAAAGGGTTCAAGAAGCATTTAAATTTTTGAAGATTGTAGTTAACAGGGAAGCAAGAAATCAGAAGGGAGTTCCACAGGTGGGAAATGCGAAAAAAGAGTAGAAGTGGCGGTTACATCTAATAATTTCAACAGTAAAATAGTGCGATCTAGTTGACAATCTAGTAGCAGTCTTCAGTTCATATCGTCAGGCATCAGGGAATAAGCTCATCATAGAAGCTGTTATGAAAATGTTTCTAGAAAAGACAGAGGGAAGCCACGTCACATTGGTGGGAATCGATTACATTGCAGACCGTTCTTTGTATTTGTCAAGAATCCCGAGGTGCACTTGACCAGATATGACAACAGTAATCACGGAATGCACGGACGAATGGTAGATTTATAAATGTGCAAGATGAATTCTGACGAGGAACCTTTTCTGGCAGGACACAGTGAAACAAATTTGCACTATTTCTAGGGGAAAATAGATAGATAGATAGATAGATAGATAGATAGATAGATAAGAACAAAACAAGATAGGCAAATACACACATTACAGGCAAAAAGATTGGCGCTACCCGGCATTTCTTTAAAAACACTTTAAAATAAGATCTTTTTGTATATTTTGAGTAAAATATAATATTTCAGTAATTGCAGTATATCTGCTTTTATTTTTCAGTCTTTCTCCAGGCTGCTCTTACTACAAAATAGTTTAAATTTAAATTCGTCTGTCCACATTATATTTTACTAAATTATGAATATTTTATATGAGAAACATAACATTTTTTTTCCATATTAACCCCTTGATAGATTGAAATACGCAAAATCTTCACCTAATTGTTAATACATGTTCTAAATATTAATTCAATACTAACTAATGTTGTAAATAAAATATATTTAGCTGTCTCCGAAGAAAAAGAGATTGTGTCGTTACGGCAGCTTCTTCATAGTATTGCTTTTTAATTTTGAAGTAATTTTCCCAAAATGGCAAAATCAAAGCAGCTAAGCAGTGAGGTGAGGGCACGCACTTAAATTTTATTTAAAGAAGGCTACTCTCAAAGACAAATTACCAAGAAGTTGAAGATTTATAGACATGGGACGCAATATTCGTTGCAAAATCAGTTAGAAACAAATTTTGTGCAAATTTTGATTGAAAAAGTGCTGGAGCACCAAAAGCGACAACTGATGATGAGGATAATCACTCGATTATTGAGAACAAAAGAAATAGAAGGAAAACTGCTCCAGACTTGACAACTGAAGTTATTTCCTCTCGACAGCAACCAGTGTTGTTCTAAAAAGATCACCGAGGCCCAAGAGGTGTATAAGCATCAAGAGACGCTTGTTTGGGAAGCTGAATAAGCAGAAAAGACTATTATGAGCAAACAACAAAAGCCTAAAAACTCGACATTGAAAGAGTGGCAAATGTATTGTGGACAGACAAGTCCAAATTTGAATATTTTGGTAGTCAGAGGAGAGCGTGTGAGAGAAGATAGCCAGGATAAAGATTGAATGAGGACTGTGTAGTTCCAAAAGTTAAGCATGGTGGTGAGTCTGTTATGGTGTGGGTGTGTTTGAGGAAGAGAGGGCTTCAGATTTTATTCAAGTCAAGGACATCATGTGAAAAGAAAATATCATTCGATTTTGCAAATACTTACTATACTATCTGGTGTACTTTATAATCCAGTACTTATCTTTGTCAGAATAAAAGAAAAATACACTATGGTTACTGATATTTGATCTTTTAACAGAAATACATGAATATTCCATTTGAATATTTTTTTAAAGAAACGCAGGGTAACCACAAGTTTTTTGCCTGTAGTGTAAATAGGAAGAAAAAAAGAGATAGATAGATAGGAACAAAATGATAGATAGATAGATAGATAGATAGATAGATAGATAGATAGATAGATAGATAGATAGGAACAAAATTAGAGCTAGGTAGGTAGCTAGCTAGCTAGATAGATAGATAGATAGATAGATAGATAGATAGATAGGAACTAAAACTATATTTGTTGTAGTCGAGACGACTGACGCGTTAAGACCGGAGTGTTTGATGCGACAACAACACCAGACAGATATACGGAGCCTCAACCCATTAATCAAAACGCTAAGTGAAGAGATTAAAATGCAATGGAATTTTAATTAGCCTTCATTGATGAGGTGACCTTATCGATGGAGTCAGACTTGAATAAATGAAGACTGAGGGAGACGAAGAATTTTGAAACATGATCTAGATATATCAGTTCAATGTCATTTTTCTATTACACAGTTTTATCTTTGAAGCACTTTGACGTCGATAATTAATCAACCGTTAGTCATTATTATTAATATAGTTAAATTCCCAGATCAATTCTGTGAACAAGACAGAGTGGTATAAAATGACAATTGGAAAAAATTTTGCCGACGTGTTTCGTCTTCCGACTTTTTCAAGGCAAAAATAAAATCGAAATGTTTTTGTTGTTATAGTTACATTAAAAAATCCAAATTATTATTAATGTTATTATTAGTAGTACTAGTAGTATTAGTAGTATTTCCTTGGGTATATATTGTATACAAATTTCTTCCCGAGTCCCATCCAGAGACATAAAGTCAGAAATGGCTATATAGTATCTTACACTAATCATTTTAAAAAAATATCAATTAAAATAATGACATTTTACGTAAATAAAGCTCTCGTAATGTGTGAGCTGTACTTGTGAGTACATTTTTTTTGTATTTCTTTAGGGAAGGGAGCTACCAGCAAACCATGCATTGAGTCTATTGGAACCTTTTTTCCAATCAATCCGAGGGATTCAATTGCAACTAGAATTATTGATGTCCCCCGGATTGGAAATCTCAAAACTGTGATACATGATGTAATTTGAAGATCTTCATAAATACATTACAATCTGCAGGGACTGCTATGTGAATAAGGAAACACGTGGTCTTTGAGCACAATGTCTGTACGATTAGCTTTGATTCCCCCCCCCCCGTGTATTGTAAAGTCCCATAAAACTGTTACAGGTCCTATCTCTCTGGGTCTGGGTGATGGTCATACCATTTTCTCACAGTTTCTTCCCCGTGAAAGTTGCATTGGCCCACTCTATCATGCCCAGTTTTAGATTCAATGGTTGCTAACACTGTGTACCCTGATATAAGTTGCTGAATTGCTTCTGGATACTTATCACAGAATCTGCACTTGGGAGTCAACACAGTTTTCACAGTGTGCTTAGTAATTTCTAGTTAGCAAGCACTGGTCATTATTATTATTATTAGAAATTCAAGAACTTAAGGTAAACAATGAAAGCTAAGCATCGCATAGACAGAGGAAACAACAGAAGTGTGTAGGAGGCATAACAACATGGAATTGGTTGAAAAGCTTTTAAATAAAGAAACTGATGATAGAATAATATTCTATGTACGGTGCCTTTTCAGGATGTCGGCGCACAAGGATCTCCAGAATTCCCTGTCCTTTTTAGACCTTAGTAATTTTTATCTTCTAAACCTTGTTCTGTCATCCATTTGCACAACAAGCTCGTTAGATAGATTACTCTCTGCTTTCCTCATTTCAGGATGCCCGGTGAGTCTCAATTTTTCCAAGCCCTCTTTTCTCATTATATGCCCTAGAAATTTCTACTGTCTCTTCCTGATGTTATATATAAGTGTTCTTTTTGTTACCAGTTTCTCTAAGACTACGCCATTGCTCACATATTCAATCCATGGAATTCTCAGCATCCTTCGGTAGACCCGCATTTTTGTTGTCTCAAGTTTTTTTTCTCATCAGTACGCTGTTTTTGGTTTCTGACTATAATTTTCTATTTCTTGAAACTCAGACGAACGAACAAAGAATATCAGGAAGCATGTATACGAAGAAGAGATATCACCATTTTGAAGAATATGTGTGAAATTTGATGAAACTGTAGCACACACTGTGGATGATTGAGTGCCAAGTTCTAGCCCAGAATGAATATAAATGATAGAGTCAAGATCAAGATACCAAAATCATTCATTTCATGTTGAGTGAGAAATAGAGTTTTCAGTGAGAAAAGGAATATTACACCTGTAAACCTGTCTCAGAGACATGCGCAAATCTGCAGGATATTTCAAGTCAAAGAGATAAAAGACATGTTCGTAACAATCCGAGTATGTTGGTAGAAAGTAAAATAAAATAAAGAAGTATAAATCATTCATACATCGTGTCCTTTTGATACAAGGAGAGAACAAATGGAAGAAGTAACCATGATCTATTTAAATTTGAACTCTTTGAAGGCTTTGGGTGTTGAAGATGGTTACATTTATACAAATTGTCTTTCGTGCTTTATGTATGGCAACAGAATGGAAACTTTTATAGAAAGGAAGCCTCGTTGGAACGGTAAACATATTCCAGAACGTAATGAAGACTTAGAGTCAGAGGAAAATTGCAGGTTACCTTAGGCTGCTGGTTGTTGTCAGCTAACTTTGCATTAATTGCACTGGGCAACAAAAAACATATTTTTATGTTGTCTATATTTTTCCAAATGATTTAGAACAATTTTTCACCGCTAAATCCGAAAATGACATCCGTTTCTCTCAATCAGGTCATGTTTCTGTGCTATGTTGAGTTTTTAAAATTCGATCTTATAACTAAATCGATTACATTCTTGTGACATTATCGATTAGATTTTGTTAATATTTCTCATAGAAAATAATTTTTTTACGAGAAAAAATTGTTTTCTAGCACAATTTATTAATTAAATGTTACAAATATCGATTACAATAAATTGAATAGTATACATTGATAAATGAAAGTACATGTAAATTACACGGTGCGTCATTATTGTTCAAAATTCATGGCTTGAAATTGATTTATTCAAACCCTGGGAATGATCAGCGGCGGGTGTCTCTCTTCAAAGTCCAGCAGTAATCAGCCAGCATGCAAATTACGGATTGGCGATAACAAAATCAAACAAGTACAAGAATTTAAATATCTGAGAAGTGTTTTAACAGAGGACAGAAAGTGCCACACTGAAATCCGGCGGCGCATAGGGATAGCGAAAGATGCCTTGCAAAAGCTAAGTAAAACACTAAGAAACGGGAAATTTTGGTTACAAAGAAAAGAGTACTGAACTCATACGTGATATCAGTCGTCCTATATCGCAGTGAATACAGGAAAGTATCCTCAGAGACAAAGAGACTTGAAAAAAAAACAGAAATGTGGGTCTACAGAAGGATGCTGGAAATATCATGTACCAAACATATAAACAACGACGAATTTTTAAAGAAAATATAAACAAAATGACACTTATATTTAACATCAGAAAGAGACAGTGTTGGGTAGAAAGACGACAGACCTTCCTACACTAATTGTCGAACTCGGACTGGTCCATCTGCTATGCATATAAACTCTGCTCAGTACTGCTTTTGGTTGAAAGTTATAAAATGTTTCTTTTAAAAGAATTGTTTCAGTAAATCAGCTTTTTTTTAAAACAATTGTTTCAGTAAATCAGCTTCCTCAAGTCTAGAAACTGTTATCGTTCTTTCCAGTACTGATGTTGTTTCTTTCCTAACCTTTTATTTGATGCTGTGTGGAATGTCAACATGTTGATTATGGCATTATTTATTCTTCAAGTTACATGTCCTATCCACTTTAGTCGTTGTTTCTTTTGAAAGCATTCAAGTGATGTGGTTTCTGTTATTTGGTACCGATCTTTCTTTGTGATTCTGTAGCACCAGTCCACAATGTTCAAAGAAGGATGACTTTTGCCAAGACTAAAAATTTACACGCTCAAAGACCTTGTTCGTCATTGGTCTTAGAAAGCAATTTTTGCATTTTCAAAAAACTAAATAATAATAATAATAATAATGACCAGTGCTTGCTAACTAGAAATTATCAAGCACACAGTGAAAAATTGTGTTGACCCCAAGTGCAAGATAAACCTCTTCATGTCCAATACTCTCCAGTTCCAAACAAGCTGATGTAGACAAAACCTGTACCCATCAGTGGTTACATAGTCCAGGCCTAAAAGTTGAAACTAAAATTTTTATTCTTGCTGCACAGGACTAATGACTGCTAAGCACACATACTGAAAATTTGTGTTACCCCGGGATGCAGATTCTGTGACAAATATCCAGAAACAATTGACAAACTTGTATAAGGTTGCACTGTATTAGCGCCCACTGAATTTAAAACTCGGCATGACAGAGTGGGCCAATATCTGCATCGGAAAATCTGCAACTTTTACGGGATGAAACTGCAAGAAACTGGTATAAACTCCACCCAGGCCCTGTTGCAAACATAGGACATGTAATAATTTTTTTGGCCATTACAATACATACAGACAATCAAAGTTAATCGCCCGGACATCGTTATCAAAGACCACAAAAAACAGAATGTGCTTTCGTATTGACAGGCCAGATCCCGCAGAATGTAATGTATCTTTCAAAATCTTAAAAAAATCTCAACATACAATGATCTTGAAATGTAATTCTCAAAACTGTGACACATGAAGACATCAATAATTCCTGTTGTCGTTGGGCCTCTCGGTTTGAATGGAAAAGGTTCTGACTCAATAAACAGATTCCCGGTTGTCTATACCTTAAAGATATACAAAATATTTTACTCGCAAGTACAGTTCACATCTTACAAAGGGAAATTTCTATGTAAAATGCGTATGGGATATTAGGTTATTTATTTATTTTTTCAGTGAAAAATATGATGATGCCATTTCTGATGTTAACGATCTGCTTTGGACCCGGAATGAAATGTGTATAGAACAGAAATTAAAGGAAAATAAAAATAATAATAATAAGAAGAAGAAGAAGAAGAAGTACGAGAGGTAAGGGAATAAGAAGATACAAGAAGAAGACGAAAAAGAAGAAGAAGAAGAAGAAGAAGAGGTAAGGGAACAAGAAGAAGAAGAAGAAGAAGAAGAAGAAGAAGAAGAAGAAGAAGTACAAGAGTTAAGGGAATAAGAAGATACAAGATGAAGAAGAAGAAAAAGAAGAAGAAGAAGAAAAAGAAGAAGTAGAAGAGGTAAGGGAACAAGAAGATACAAGAAGAAGAAGAACAAAAAGAAGAAGAAGAAGAAGAAGTACAAGAGTTAAGGGAATAAGAAGATACAAGATGCAGAAGAAGAAAAAGAAGAAGAAGAAGAAGAAGAAGAAGAAGAGGTAAGGGAACAAGAAGATACAAGAAGAAGAAGAAGAAGAAGTACAAGAGATAAGGGAATAAGAAGATACAAGAAGAAGAAGAAGAAGAAGAAGAAGAAGAAGAAGAAGAAGAAGAAGAAAAGAAGAAGAAGAAGAGGTAAGGAACAAGAAGATACAAGAAGAAGAAGAAGAAGAAGTACAAGAGATAAGGGAATAAGAAGATACAAGAAGAAGAAGAAGAAGAAGAAGAAAAAGAAGAAGAAAAAGAAGAAGAAGAAGAGGTAAGGGAACAAGAAGATACAAGAAGAAGAAGAAGAAGAAGTACAAGAGATAAGGGAATAAGAAGATACAAGAAGAAGAAGAAGAAGACGTAAGGGAATAAGAAGATACAAGATGAAGAAGAAGAAAAAGAAGAAGAAGAAGAAAAAGAAGACGAAGAAGAAGAAAAAGAAGAGGTAAGGGAACAAGAAGATACAAGAAGAAGAAGAAGAAGAAGTACAAGAGATAAGGGAATAAGAAGATACAAGAAGAAGAAGAAGAAGAAGAAGAAGAAGAAGAAGAAGAAGAAGAAGAAGAAAAAGAAGTACAAGCGATAAAGGAATAATAAGATACAAGAAGAAGAAAAAGAAGTACAAGAGGTAAGGGAATAAGAAGATACAAGATGAAGAAGAAGAAAAAGAAGAAGAAGAAGAAGAAAAAGAAGAGGTAAGGGAACAAGAAGATACAAGAAGAAGAAGAAGAGGAAGTACAAGAGATAAGGGAATAAGAAGATACAAGATGAAGAAGAAGAAAAAGAAGAAGAAGAAGAAGAAGAAGAAGTACAAGCGATAAAGGAATAATAAGATACAAGAAGAAGAAAAAGAAGTACAAGAGGTAAGGGAATAAGAAGATACAAGATGAAGAAGAAGAAAAAGAAGAAGAAGAAGAAGAAGAGGTAAGGGAACAAGAGGATACAAGAAGAAGAAAAAGGAGAAGAAGAAGAAGTACAAGAGGTAAGGGAATAAGAAGATACAAGATGAAGAAGAAGAAGATACAAGAAGAAGAAGAAGAAGAAGAAATACCTGTCCCCATTGCAAACTCTTTCTTCTAATGGAAGTTAAGGCTTTTTTCAATTTATTTCCAGTATAAATTTAACTTTTCTAACATTTCAATTATCTCTTCGTGTTTTATCTTCTCAAATGCCTTCGTATAATCTGTTTTTTGTTATCTCTAAACAAGCCCCCCCCCCTTTAGACGACACTGCGCATATCCTCTATTTCAAAATCTCAATCCCCGTGTGAACAAAATTTTCTTTGAAGAAAATTACAAACCTCCTACGGTCACGGCAACGAGCGCCCGGCATCGCCTAAAACCTTTCCTTCTTGTTAGAGGCTCTTCGATTAATTTAAAATAAGCTACATTTGATTCTTTTCTCGCATGAGTGTCTTTAAATGCACCTCGATATCTTGGATAATTTTTAGTAGAGTTTTAGGCCTTTGTGGCAAAATTTCTCCTGTTTTAGCAATGAACATTCTCTCGGATCGATTAAATATTACCAAACAGTGAGAATCTCTTGGAGCGGAAAAATTTCCAGGCGTTTTACAGAGTTAATATCGGTCACAATGACTCTGTGTGGTTGGATTACATTGGAAACGAAAATAATAATAAATATGTCTAGGTTGTCTGGAACCGAAATGCAATGGCCGATGCATGTTCGGATTTAATTTGTTACCGCCAGATTTGTTTATCCATTTCCATAATACTTTCGACTAGTTTTCAATTTTATATTTTTTTATTCCGACTACGTTCGTTAGTGTTTAGTTTGTTTTTTTTAACTTCTTTTATTTTATTATTGCCTTCTTGTCAGGTCTTAATAAAAATAAAAAAAATGTAACGGACCAGTTGAAACAAAATTAGTCCTTCTTTTCCTTTTTTTTTTTCTTTTTTTTTTGCTTAAGATCGTCGCTCGAAGCAAATTTCACATGGCGTCACACCAGCAGACATATTCCTGAAAAAATGATATGCTTCTTTCCTAAAATATTTTTGTTGGGGAATATTTAATATTATTATTATTATTATTATTATTATTATTATTTATTTATTTGTTTATTTATTGTTGTTATTCTCCTTACTTTTATTTTCCATTCATTGATTCTTTACAACACTTGTACTCGATAGAACTGAAAATAAAGTGGCAACAAGTGTCCTTAAATCTCCTTTAGTATCGTTTTGACTCCATTCTTTTACAGTTGTATTTCTTTTTTTTTCAACTGGAAATATTTAGATATTTTAAAATATTTTCCCCTTACTGTCTGCGTTGCCTATTATCATTATTATTATTATTATTATTATTATTATTATTATTATTATTATTTCTGCTGTATACATATTTCCTTTCTGGTCCCAACCAGACACCTAAATTCCGAAATGGCTTCATGGCATTTTCGGTTGATCATTTTTATAAAAGAAAAATTCTAATATTATACATATTTTACATAGGTAAATTACTTTTATTATTATTATTATTGCTGTTGTTGTTGTTATTATTATTATTATTATTATTATTATTATTATTATTATTTCTGTTGTATACATATTACTTTTTTGGTCCCAATCAGAGACCTAAGCTTCGAAATGGCTTCATGGCCTTTTTGGCTGATCATTTTTATAAAAAATTCTAATATTATACATATTTTACATAGTAAATTATTATTATTATATTATTATTATTATTATTATTATTATTATTATTATTGTTATTATTATTATTATTATTACATCATTTAGAGAAGAGCGTGATTAAAGAAAAAAAAAAAAAAAGATACAGAGTTTGACACTGTTCAACGATATTTCGACAGCATGTCTGTCTTCTTCAAGTTATGTTTAAAAATTCTAAAAAAATCTACAAAAAAAATAAGTCTTTGTACAAACATTTTTTTATACTTGCATACAATTTTTAAACATTACTTGAAGAAGACAGACATACTGGCGAAATATTGTTGTCAAACTCTGCGTATTTTATCTTTTTTTCTTTTCTTAAATCTCTCAGCGTTGAAAAATATTGAAAGAGTTGCGTCAATCATTTTGTTTATTATTATTATTATTATCATTATTATTATTATTATTATTATTATTATTATTATTGAGAGCGATAGAACAGCCGGCCAACAAGATGACGCATGCGACAAATATATGAAGTCCAATATACTCATCATGACAACCAGTCTGATAAGTGTATACCAGACACAGGCATCAAACAATATGGTGACAAGCTTTGATAAACACTGCGCAAAAACTTACAGGTGAGGCTCGTTTAGAAATATCTTCTTGTCCGGTAAACCTGTTCGCTCAAATGGCCCCCGATTGAAGGAATTCTTAAGTATTTAATGCGACTCCCTAATCGCTTTAGTTACCCCATTCTTCAAGCATAAAAATAGCCTGCTGTCTCGACCCTCGGCCATCATTCTCTTCCTCGAAGCCAACTCATGATCAGACGTGCAGAATATGTTAGTCATTAGGAGACATATCAACTTGTTAAGGTCAGTGATCTAACAGGCCAATCTGTGGCACTGGACAGAAATTTACAGTAACCCATCTTAATTCAACAAAACAAAGCATGTAGAGTTTAACACTCCAATCAACTATAATAACAATCAATGAATGATATCCTTGGTATAACATCAAGGCTATTATTATTATTATTATTTTATTTTCTTTGATTTCTGGCGTTTGCACATTTCTTTCCGGGTCCCGCCCAGGGACCTAAATTTAGAGATGGCATCATGACACTTTCCACTGACAAAAAAAAAAAAAAAAATTACATAGATGAAGCCTAGTCCTCGGGCTCTAACTACAACAGGGATTGTTGATGTTCCCATATGCCACATTTTTGAGATTTCTTTATTATTATTATTATTATTATTATTATTATTATTATTATTATTATTCATTTCTGTTGTATATTAATTTTCTTCGGGGTCCCAAACAGAGACCTAAGATCAGGAATGGCATCATGATATTTCCCACTGAAAATTTTTGCAAACATAAAAATATAGCAACTTAAAATTACACATCATTTTGCATATACAAAGTCATTCTTAAGATATGAGCTGTACTTATGAGAATATTTTTTTGTATTTCTTTAAGGCGTGGGAAATCACTTTAATCGGGATCTTTTCCGATCAAACTGAGGACCCCAACCACAACTTATTTTTTTTTATTCTCGAGTAAATGAAACGTACGTCTAACTTTTTGACTCTCGTATAAACGAGAGTCAAAAACTTAGAGACTTGTTTATACAAGACTTCGTACGAGTTTGACCCCCGTTTATGCGATAACCACAATTTTAGACGTAGGCTTCGTTTACACGTGAATAAAAAAAATCTACCCCATTAAACCTACAAAAATGTTGATATGCCGTAAAGCAAAACTAACTCGCTTCTTTTAATTCAGAAACCAAATTTGAATAATTTATTAATTTAGTTAAGTTTTACAGCGTTAATGTTTGGTGATAAGGCTATGACTATGCACATCGTGTAAGCTTTCACTCGTTTTTATTTTTTTTATTTTTAGGAGATAACGCAACTTCATCTATGTTAAAATCTAAATAAGTATTTAAAATTCATTTAATTGTCCCTACCTGAAAACACTGAGGTCCGACGATAGTTGTTCTAGCATTAAATCACAAGTCATCGTGACCGAGATTTTGAGCGTGCTGGCCTTGCTCAGATTGTTGATCTCGCTAGATAGCACGCTCTTTCCCAGAAACTGTAACTAAGGTCTGCTTTGCATAGTGGCAGTATAAACCACAAGTGGGCTGTGTGGATGGTGAACAAATACAAATGTGCCTGAGCAAGCGTCTGTGTTGAAACTTGACTAATGCATGGAATAATAATGCAACACAAAATGTACTTAGAACAAAATGTATTGAAACAAGAAAGTGTACACAATATTTACATATAGTCTTTTGTATATTCCTGGGAAGACCGTTCCTGGAGAATGTGTTGACTGAGTCGCAGTCGGGCAGAGTCTCTGGTTGAATCTCTTGATTCCTCCCTCTCTTCCCGCTACCAACCATATTTATATGGTCGGTACTCCACTATGCAAATTAGGTGGATCCTACCACAACAAAGATCAAAGTTGACTGGAAAGCAAGAAACCTGAACAGAGTTCCACAAGCTGGAAGTCCCAGTGAAGAAACTGTTAGCATAGAACTTACGGTTGCATCAAGGCAGTAAGATGATGAGACATTGTCGCCAATCTAGTAGTATTCTTAGATTCATAAAATCTAGATACCAAAGAGGAAATCCCAACCGAACAATTACCAAGAAAATATTTATAGAAACGGCAGAGGGAAACTACCTTACAGCGGTGGGAAAATTACTGAAAGCGAGTTGCCAGGTCAGGGTCAATAACATTGCAGATTTGTATTTTATCAAGAATCTCTAAATACATAACAGAAACACCAGACTGTGTATGTGGTGTGTGTGTCTTTGTCTATGTGTGGAGAAGCTTCGTATACGTTCATTGTGTGTGTGTGTGCAAATATATTTGGAAAGATATTTGACTGAAGGCAGCAAGTCAGTTGTCCAAATGCCGATCCTGAGATCAGTGGGGAAAAGAAAACCGATGAGAACTAGACAAGTTAGTAATGAAAAATACAAATATATGACTATTTGACGTAAGAAGGCAGAATGTATGGTCATTAGCAAAATGGGCAGCCCAAAGTGGGCCGACAAATTGGGGACGTCCAAATCAAACAAATACCTAATAATAGAAAGAGGTATAAGACGGAGATACGTCTTCTGTCCGGATTTATTCAACTTATACAGCGAGGCGTTCCTAAGAAAACTCGGAGACATACAGAGACTTAATATTGACGGGCGCTATCTTAATATTAGACTTTTGCAGAAACTTGATGGAGTAAAGAAAAACAATAAAGAATGGATAAACTATTAACTGTAAAAATACATAATGTATAGTCGTCAGTAATCCAAAGAATCAGCCCAAGGTTCGTGCATGAGAAAGTGAGAATCAAGTAGGTACAGAAATTTAACTATTTAGATAGTGTAATAAGAGACGACTGATATGTGGCACAGAAATCCGAAGGCACAGTTGGATAGTGTATAATATTCCCAGAGTATAAACAAAACTTAAGAGAGATAAAAAATGTTATTAAAAACAATAAAAAGACTGCTGAACTGTGACTTCATGTCTATATTACGAAATGCCAAAGAATGCTAGGTGGTGATTTCGTTACAGATGAAGACGCCGCTCGATGAAACAAAGATGTGATTCTGCAGCCGGATGTTAAGAATGCCAACGACTGAACATGGGAAAAACGAGAAGATTTTATGGAAAATAAAAACTAACAGAATACGTGAAGTTACAATCTGAAAGAATGGAAGTTTATGGAACATATGAGGAAAAAGACCTTGAAAAATTTAACAGATATACTGGAAGCGGATGAGGGAAACACTGATTTTCAAAACGATGGAGAAGGAAACGAGTAATCGCTTTGTTCAGGAATTTCACAAGAAGACATGGTAATCCACAGATAGAAAGAAAAAATATCTAGAGCCATTATCTCCTAATTCATGAAAGAACATGGAATTAAAGCAACATATAAAGGGTGTTCCAGTAACTTGGACCGATTTTAAATGTGAATTAAGTTTAAGCGTCTAATGATTTTTTTTCTTTTTCTCTCAGATTTAACAACTTAAATCTTTGGCAATTTCAACCATGGAAAGATTAACACTCAAACAACGTGTTAAAGTTTCAAGAGTGCAACTGGAAAAATTGTTCGTAAATTCAAACAAACTTTGTCGGTGACAGATGTGAAAACACCATTGCGTGCTCCTTTACGCCGTTCATCTGAAAACATTGCTGCAGTGCACGAGAATACGGCCGAAAATCTCGACACCTCTATTTATCATCGCGCGCAAGAATTAAACCCCTGCACAACAACGTTACATCGTTTCCAGTTGCACTCTCGGTTTGTCGATTATGTTGACCCAAAAAATCTCCCAGTGCGCGAAATGCATTTCTGTTTGAACGTCCATTTTCGTAATAGGCTTCGATAACTTTAACACGTTGCTTGATTGTCACACTTTCCATGGTTGAAATTGCCAAAGACTTAAGTTGTTAAATCTGAAAGAAAAAGAAAAAAAATCATTAGACACTTAAACTTAATTCACATTTAAAATCGGTCCAAGTTATTGGAACCACCTTTCTTATACAAATTTATTAACACTTTCCCTGTATAAGATGTTACATGAATTTTTAATGAAGGTAACTAGAAGACACTAGGCACATCAGAAATCTGGTTCTACAGAATAATATTTAGAATACAGGACACGTGAAAAGCACTTACGAGTTCTGTCTGAAAAGTAACAGGACTGGATTCGTTCTTCGATGTTAGAGGCATCGTCTACCAGAATGTCTACAAAGAAATCCTGTGGCATTAGCTTCGCACGTCGCGTTAGAACAGACGAGAGTTGTGGTAGAACACGACAATGCACTGCTCAGAACATCCTGAGCAAGCGGTAATTCCTCGCTGAGAAGAACATCACCGTAGTAGAACAACCTGCCTATTCACCTGACCTTGTTCTGTGTGACTTTTATCTTTCCCCTAAAATTAAGAGGATCATCAAGACGACAGGTTTTGAAGGCATGGAGGCCATCAAGAGGGCTGTAACGACGAAGCTGAGAGGCATCCAAGGAGACTTCTGCCAGCAGTGCATAGAAGTGTGATAGAAAAACATGGAACAAAGCGTTAGACTCGACGGGGTTACTTTCAAAGTGGAGAACCATGAATCTTGTCGTTTGGAATTGAAACAAGTTCCGTTACTTTTTACTTTTACAAACAAACTTTGTATATTTAACATCAGAAGGAGACAGTTGAAATAATGAGGAAGAAGGGACTGGTAAACTTGACTCTGACAGGACATACTGAAGAGGGACCAAGGAAACAACCCTTAACCTTCCATACGAGGTTGTGTAAATGAATGGCGAAACAAGGTTTATGAGAGAACAAAAAGACTAAATTTATTATGAGCTAAAAAAAAGATAGGACAATGTGGAGAACCATGATCGCCAACGTCTTGGAGAAAAATGGTACAAAAAGTAGAAGAACTCGGTAGCCCTTAAAGTTCGTTGTTGTCTGCCATCTTTTTCGCTTCTGAGCGTCACGGTGTCAAGACTTTGCCCAAATCTGCCAACCTGCCCGCCGGAAAGAATCCACGTTGTAAGTCGAAATGTCTTACAGTTGTGTGATATTTACGTTACATTGCATGTTCCTTTGCCATTTAAGTTTTCTGATAGTTTTTTTTTAGGATATCTCTGACGCCTGTTTCCTCCGTAAATTTTTATAATAAAATCACTCGTTCGGTTCATTGTGTAATGCTTAGTAAGTTAGCTCCGTAATGCAAAGAGCTCCATACTTACTTGGTTATTCAGGTTTATATCTTTGCCCCAGATGAATGACAAACCTAGAAGTTATCGATAAAAAAATAATAAAAAAAGACTGAATTAGGAAGGAAAGCAAAGTTTGATTTTACGGAAAGTCGTGCTTTTATTAAAAAAAAAGAAAAATAACACATTTTTGTGCGCAAGAGAGGCCAGACAGTTTAGACAAAGACCCACCCGGTCTGGCCATTCAAACGCAGACCACCAGCTAAAAAATAAATCATTCTTGACCGTTTGGTTCATAAGCATGTCAAAGCAGTTTTTTTAGATGGTTTTTTATTAAGTTATTTACCATAGGACTATTTGACCGGAAAACCCCATTGCAATATTCTAGATTAATAAAGCCTTCTTGTTTGCCTAAAAATCGGTATTTACAAACCTTGTATTCAAATAGTAAGATATCAAGAAGAACCAAAGAATAATTCCCAAATTATTGCAAATCCCTCAAAAGTAATAAAACTAAATCGATGACATTCAAACATGATTTGATAAGAATTCATTTTTAGCCTCAAATATGAGGTTATTTTTCATTGGAGATTAAATTTTGTGCAAACTAAAAATAACAGCTAAAATGGAATCGAATGCTCTTTGTTATCTTTTCTAACCAATCAGAAACTAAACAATTATTTCTAGCCAATAAAAAGAGAAATAATTCTTGCTTCAATTTATGCGATAAATAGTTATCATTATTTAAACTATTTATATTAGGATTATTGTTCTCATCTTTGTTGTTTTTATCACAACGTCTCAGCCGTTATACCTTCCTCAGGTGTATATCGATCTGGGTAACCTACAGGGAAATCCGAACTGAAGTCAGAACATGACAGGCAAAAGCAACAGTGGCAGTGGAAGCCTTATAAGCAGTGAAGATTATGTTTAAAGCTCTAAATTTACTCGAGAAAATGGGTAAAAGCGTATGTTTATGAATTGGGTGACATAGTGGTTGCGAGATCAATCCCTGGGTCGAGCAGTGTTTACTTGCACTCAGTGGAAATGGGCCAGCAATAAGGGGACAATACTAAATGAAAATAATAAATACACACTATCCCTAGACATGACCAGTGGAACGAGAACATTTTATCCCCTTAGATTAAATAAAGGGATTCAGTTCATAATTCCCTGTAGGTCATCTAAATAAATATGAGGAAGACCAGAGAGTACAATGACCGAAACGTTGTGATAAAAACAACAAAGATGAAGGCAATAGTCTGAATATAAATAGTGTAAATTAAGAAATAATTCTGTCCAAACAATACGTACATCGTTATGATCTTCAGAACCGATTCAGGGAGGAAAATCACTGAGTAACTTCATTTTTTCGAGAATAAACTGCTTGCATTTAAACGCTTTTATTTACTTTGGCTTCAATCTTTAATATTCTATTCTTCTTTCCTCTTCAATTTATCATGCCATATTCTTCTTCCACATCTATTGATCCTCTCATTTTCTTCTTTCCGCTTCTATTTATCATGTCATATTCTTTCCTCTTCTATTTATCATGTCATATTCTTCTTTCCGCTTTTATTTATCATGTCATATTTTTCATCTTTTATTTATCATGTCATATTCTTCTTTCCGCTTTTATTTATCATGTCATATTCTTCTTTCCGCTTTTATTTATCATGTCTGATTCTTCTTTCCGCTTTTATTTATCATGTCATATTTTTCCTCTTTTATTTATCATGTCATATTCTTCTTTCCGCTTTTATTTATCATGTCATATTCTTCTTTCCGCTTTTATTTATCATGTCATATTCTTTCCTCTTCTATTTGTCATGTCATATTCTTCTTCCCACTTCTATTTATCATGTCATTTTCTCCTTTCCTCTTCTATTTATTATCTCATGTCAGTACAAAGTGATCATGGCTATGCACGTCTTCCTGTCTCTTGTAAACCCTAAGCAGCAATTGACTATATTCCATCTGATTTTTTTCTCTCCTGTGACATCCATTCACGCAAAATCGTTAGGTAGGTTATTTGAAACAAATCTAAAAATCCTGTTATTTAACCCATATATGGAGGGAGTAGAAATGGATTCATGCCTTTGCTTTGGGCGAAAATGGATCAGTTTATAAAAACATTTGTTTAAAACAGTTTTCATGTAAATTCTCAAGTTCATTTCGCTGTCTAGAAACTTCTTTTTTTTTTATATTAATAACAGATTCTTTCCGAACCTTTTGTTTTATTGTGTCGAAGGTTAACATATCGATTATATCATGATTTTCCTTTCCACCTGCCATTTTTTTTTTTACTAACTGTTTATTTGTTATACTAATGTTCACTCAAGAGCCCCTCATGGTTGAGGTTTGGTATAGTCTGTTTTGTTTTACGGTATATCAACCACAATGGGTTATTTAATACCAACAAGATTTTTTTACAATAGATTCGTATGAATAGAATATATATACTTTGTAATGAAACAGTTTCTAGATTCATTTTCATTGATATACTTTTGTAAAGAGGGTTGTTGTCGAGAGTCTAGTTTTATTGATGGATTCTTTTCAGATACATGATTTGTAAAGAAATTGATTTGACATTCTCAATTGGTTTAATTTTTGGTAGAATCCTACTGTTTTGAGAAATGATACTATATCATCCACTTATAGATAGTGTTTGTACTATAACATTTTTGTCTTCAGAGAGCAAAATCTTAGTACTCGGTTAATATATATTTTACTGTATATGCTGTTTTATGTGCTTGTCATACTGGTTGATTTTCCTTGTTTAGTAAGTACAAGTGGGTTATTCTCGTATGGCCAATGCATACGCGGGCAGTACAACTTCTTCCTTACCAGATTTTCTGGAAACTGACTTCCATTCTCCTAGTTTGGACTGAATTGCAATAAGTTTATTTTATGGGTTATCGTCTCAGTACCGTTGCCATTTCTCTTGAATGTATTTATTAATAACCTCCATAAAATTTGTGTATGAGATAATAGTCATTGAATCTACATCCGTATCTAAACCCTTCTTGGATGCTAGGTCTGCTTATTTACCTTTAACTCCGAGGTGGCTAGACAACCAGCATAGTTTCATGTGTCTATGCTTGTTTGGTTTGCTTTGTTTTACGACATATCAACCTCAAATGGTTATTTAATGTCGACAAAATTTATTTTTTCTTCAAAAATCAATTGCTGGTAATATTTCTTTTCAAAAATGTATAGCTGGTAATATCTTTTGTTTTAAAAAATATATTGCTAGCAATAATCTTTTACAAGGTATTTATGGTATTAAAACTTATATTTACATTTTCATAGAGTTTTAACCCCAGTATGAAGGTTCACTATTTGCCCATAGCTGGGACCCTAACAGGTCCTACCTCCCCGGGTCAAAGTGGGTTTGGGAACTCCAGCAATTAAGAGGTGGTTCCAAGCTCCTCAAAACCTCCTGATTAGAGGCCTTGCTGTCGGATGTAGTTTATCATCTTACCCAGGACATTTATGATTGTTAATAGTGCTCAGTTTGCATAATGTTTTCATAAGTGGGCTGTTGGATTCCTTTCCTTAAAAGCCAATATAGACGGATAATGAGTCCGAAAAAAATAGACCATTTTTTTCGTTTGATCTCTGAGATAATGTTGAGAGCTATTCTCGATCGCATAAGCTGTGAAAATAGAACTTCCCTTTGCGAGGTGCCTGTTTTTTGGTAATATTTTGCTTCACTTCTGCACATTCTATCTTGTTCTCACATTTTGACTCGTCTGTATAGATGGGTGTATATTTAAGTAAGTTTGCCAATATGTCCTTAAACTTATCATGGAATGTGAGTGGGTGCGTTTTTGGTTTGGGGAGATTATGTAATTGTAGCACTTGTAGCACTAATTTGTAATACTTCGGATTGATTGATAGTTCATGGTGGAATACTATCTGCAGTCGTTTCTTATATATTTGAGATTGTGGTGTCTAACTCTTCAGAAATGGTTTTCATCCTGATTGCTTAAGGTAGCATTATCTTTTTGTCGGAATAGATCGCAGTTATTCGGTTCAAAGGTAAATGTGGAGGTGTTTCATTAGCGTCTGTGTATAAGCTCTCCACTGGGGATGTTCTAAAAGCTTCGAGTACTAATATAAAGACCTTGATGATAGGTTGCGTTGAGAATTTTTACGTACGACTTTCTGACCATTCCATATCTGAAACTAGCGTAATACAATTTTGAATTCAAATAGTTATCTGTATAAACTTGATTAATGTTAGTCGATCTGCACCCCATTTAGTATGGGCTACTACACGCAGGAGTTGTAGTGCTTTGCTACATTTTGTTTTCAAATATTTTAGATGAGGAATGAACGCTAATTTTTATCAAAGATAATGCCTAGAAACTTGTGTTGTTCCACAACTGAGATTTCTGATCCGTCTAATTTGAAACATGGATTATTGTGCAATTTTCTTAATTTGCAAAAATGTAGTCAGTTGGTTTTCGTTTTGGAAAACATGAACTCATTTGTGTATTTTATCGAGTCATTGTTGGAATTGTCTTTCAATGGTATTTCAAGATATGTACATAACTAGAAAAGCATCGACATATAGAAAGCATCTCACTCCTGGAGTCAGGAGTTAATTTTATGCAAAAAAAAGCGCCACCTAAAGAATGCTTCCTTCTTCTTGATCTTGTTCCAATAGCCTTCTTCCTATACGGACTTCCCTATGAATTGAATCAGCTTTCCATTTAGACCTAGTTCATGAAGATCGTTCAAGATACCAAATTTCCATGTTGTATCGTACGCATTTTCTAAATCAAAAAAAGACTGGTGTGAGATGTTCTTTCTTAATGAAGGCTTCCTTTACAAACGTTTCGAGGCGTACTAAGGTATCCACAGTACTTTTTCCTAAAAACACATTGGTAGTCACTGATTAGGCCGTTAGTTTCCAGGTACCAAGTCAACCGTTTATTGACCATTCCCTCCATAGTTTTACATCGGCAGATCGTTGTGCTATCGGCCAGTAGCATTCAGAGTCTTTATCATCATTTCCAGGTTTTGGAATAGGGAAGTTGACACTTGTCCATATGATATTATACAAATTTAGTAATAGTTGTAATGGTCTCTTGGGCAACTGCTATATTGTGGGCTTTCTTTAAAGAGTCATTTAGTTCCTCTGTAGGGAATGGTAGGTTATAACACACACCGTTATTTGATTTAAAGTTTATGAGATCTTACCCATAATAATAATAATGGACTATTCCATACTTAATAAATACTGCGCCTCAGGAGTAGGCAAGGAGTCGGTCGCTCACTTTCTGAGCGACTGTTCGGTTCAACTCTCTTCCTACGGGCGAGAGGAACCCGAAGGAGGCTACGCCGAAGGGCGGAGTCTCCTTCGGGGAGGTAAAACCGGCCCAGAACCCGTTTATACGGGTTCTGATGGGCTATTTTTTGGCCGAGCCTAATGGCTCGGGAATGCCCACGTTAAAAAGGCCTTGTGCCACATGACACCCTCGTGGGGGGGGTGACTGAATATTGTCGGTCGCTCACTTTCTGAGCGACTGTTCGGTTCAACTCTCTTCCTACGGGCGGGAGGAACCCGAAGGAGGCTCCGCCGAAGGGCGGAGTCTCCTTCGGGAGGTAAGCTCGGCCCTGAACCCGTTTATACGGGTTCAAATGGGCTATTTTTGGCTGAGCCTAATGGCTCGGGAATGCCCACGTTAAAAAGGCCTTGTGCCACATGACACCCTCGTGGGTGGGGGGTGACTGAAAATCGTCGGTCGCTCACTTTCTGAGCGAACGGTTCGGTTTAACTCTCTGCTTTCGGGCGGGAGGAACCCGAAGGAGGCTACGCCGAAGGGCAGAGTCTCCTTCGGGAGGTAAAACTCGGCCCTGAACCCGTTTATACGGTTTCAAATGGGCTTTTTTGGCCGAGCCTAATGGCTCGGAAATGCCCACGTTAAAAAGGCCTTGTGCCACATGACGCCCTCGTGGGGGACGACTAAATATAGTCTGTCGCTCACTTTCTGAGCGAACGGTTCGGTTTAACTCTCTGCTTTCGGGCGGGAGGAACCCGAAGGAGGCTACGCCGAAGGGCGGAGTCTGCTTCGGGGAGGTAAAACCGGCCCTGAACCCGTTTATACGGGTTCAAACGTGTATATTTTTGGGCCGAGCCCACGGGCTCGGGAAACCCACAATAAATAACCGACCTTGTGTCACATGTTGCCCCAGTGGGGGGGGGGACAACATTTTCAGTCGACCCAGTACTTTTTGAGTGACTATTCGGTTCAACTCTCTGTCTACGGACGGAGAAGAACCCGAAGGAGGCTACGTCGAAGGGCGGAGTCTCCTTCGGGGAGGTAAAACCGGACCTGAACCCGTTTATACGGGTTCAAACGGGCACATTTTTGGGTCGAGCCCACGGGCTCGGGTAAACCCACAATAAATAACCGACCTTGTGTCACATGTTGCCCCCGTGGGGAGGGGAGACTAAATATTGTCAGTCGCTTACCTTCTGAGCGACTGTTCGGTTGAACTCTCTGCCTTCGGGCGGGGAGGAACCCGAAGGAGGCTACACCGAAGGGCGGATTCTCTTTCGGGGAGGTAAACCGACCCTAAACCCGTTTATACGGGTTCAATGGGCATATTTTGGGTCTGAGCTCACGGGCTCGAAGGACCCACAATAAATAACCGACCTTGTGTCACATGTTGCACAAGTGGGAATGGGGGAGACTGAATATCGTCAGTCGCTCACTTCTGAACCGACTGTTCGGTTGAACTCTCTGCCTTCGGACGGAGAGGAACCCGAGCGAGGCTACGCCGAAGGGCGGAGTCTCTTTCGGAGAGGTAAACCGGCCCTGAGCCCGTTTATACGGGTTCAATGGGCATATTTTGGGCCGATGCCACGGGCTCGGAGATCCCACGTTAAACCGGACTTGTGCCACATGATGGCCACGTGGGGGGGTGACTAAATATAGTC